CACACAACCCCGTGACAATATGCGTTTTGTACTGCTGTTACACAGCACAAAACGCATAAAAATTAACTCATAGCCAGTAATCAGACTAAAGAAAAAAAATTAACATTTCTGTAAATCAAAAATGAAGCGTAGCAAAATAACAGTGGATAAACATGCACCGATGAGCAATTATAAGCACAGTCTTCCGAGTATTTTGGATTAACTGAAGAATAGCACCTCGAACCAAATCCTCACTGGAGGCGTCCAAAGCACTTGTTGCTTCATCCAAAATTAGCATCATTGGATCCTGGAAAACTCAGGAAATTTTGCTGCGAAGTACTGAAGGAATAGGTACCCATTAACAGTGGCCAAAAAAGCCAATCTCTCCTAATTTGAAAAATGCAACAGCACTGACTGTATCAGATGTACTGGCAACTAAGACTTGTCGCGAAGCATCCATCACCATACTAAGTATGGCAAGCACGGGGCTATCGACAGCTTCGCCAGCAGACAAAAAATAAGTGAGGGTTATGCAGATGAACAAAAAAAAAACCTGAAAAAGCAAGACGCGGCTTGAAGAAAGATATAAAAGCAAGAAAGCCCAGCTTTCTGCGCGTCTCTTCCCAAAGGGCATAAAGCGCCTGGAAGCCGAAGTACCACGCTACACACTATTATCAAAAACCGAACTCTCTAACTGCTTTCTTCAAAAAATCGAATAAATTACCTGGCGCCCTCGGCATGTACAAAACTTGTCGAAAGACACTGCTCTGTATGGCGCAGCAAAACAATGCCGCAAATGCCTCCCTCGGAGGAAAGGCGTTGAGAAAAAAAACAGAGGTTCTTGCTATTAAGAACTTATCTCGATTAAACACTTTCACGTGTTTTTGTCCTTTTTCTACTAAAATCCCAGTGAAATACACCAAATCAACCGACAAATCTAGTTAGATCCGTCGTGAAGATGCGCGAAGTCTTGACAAAAAAAATACAGAAATGCGATTAAAAAAAAAAAAAAAAAAAAAGAACGCACATTGATTAGTGCTCGAGCAATTGCAAT